GGGCCCCGAACTTGGCCAGGTTCCCCTCGAGCACGATCGTCTCCCGGTGTCGGCGCCAGACCTCCTCGGAGAACCCGCGGACCTGCCGCCCGACCGCCTTGGCCTCCTTGGGCGTCGCGGCGGCGAGGGCCCGTCGCGCCGCCTCCTCGTCGCCGAACAACCGGGCCTTCCGCGCCATCATGTAGTGCTCGGCCGTCGCGAAGGTCTCCCCGTCGACGACGAACGGCTGCTCGTACCACTGGCTCAGGCACGACTTCCCCGTCCGCCCGTCCTCCGGCTTCCGGTGGCCCCAGAAGAAGAAGTACTCGAAGGACTGTCCCGCCGTCACGGCCGCCCGCAGCTCCTCCCGGCTCGTCGGCAGCTTCGACATCTGATTGGCTCTCGACGGCAGCTTCGACATCTGATTGGCTCTCGACTGAAACACACAGAAGCGTCCGAAACGCCCATGTAGTCAGAGCCAAAGACATAAAGACGGAGCTCTCGTGTATTTACTAACACGGGGGAGAAGTGACTCAGCACTGGCGCTCTGCGTTTGTGTGAGTGTGTAAATTAGCGCGGGAAATCCGCGGCGGCAAACGGTAATTTTATTTGAACTTGTACTTTGCTTTGCTATTTCCTTACTTTCCCGAAAATTCATTTCTTGGCGATTCTTCAAAATCCTCGCTTTTTCCTTACCTTTACCTCACCTCACACGCATTTTTAACTGTATTCAGACTGGAAAAGTGGAATAATGATAGAATGACAAAGGAATAAACCGAAAAACACGAAGAATCGAACCGAAAACTTATTCAATGGAAATCGCATATCCCTCAGGATACTTTTTAGAGGTTATCACAAAAATCTGGAACTTCCAGACCTTTTCCGTGCTTCCGTACCGACCTTCCGAAATCCGTTTTCAGCGTATCCGTACTTTTTCCGCACAGTAGACACCTTGAATTGTTACGCACGTGAACGCCATCTCGTGTACTATTATAAACACCCGTGCTCTCGGTTCATTGAACGACGTCAGGCGAAAAGCTAAGATTTTTCTCTATTTTCACGTGGTGTCACATACTTCTTCCGGAGTTCGAATACCTAGTTGTGCGCTTACTATCCGAATTCAACGATGCGAGCAAAATACTTACGTTCATGAACATCAGGATTTTAAACGGATGAAAAGCTAAGATTTTCCTTCATTTTCAAAAGATACCACATCACATACCTACTTCGGAGTTCGAACAGTTGCGTGCTAGATTTCCGCGTGCAACGATGCAACCATAATACCTACATTCATGAACGTCAGTATTTTAAACAGGTGAAAAGCTAAGATTTTCCTTCATTTTCAAAAGATACCACATCACATACCTACCTCGGAGTTCGAACAGTTGCGTGCTTGATTTCCGCGTGCAACGATGCAATCATAATACCTATATTCATGAACGTCAGTACTTTAAACAGGCAAAAATCTAAGATTTTCCTTCATTTTCAAAAGATACCACATCACATACCTACTTGGGAGTTCGAATAGTTGCGTGCTTGATTTCCGAGTTCAATGATGCGAGCATAATACCTGCATTCATAAACGTCAGTATTTCGAACAGGCGAAAAGCTAAGATTTTCCTACATTTTCAAGAGATACCACATCACATACCTACTTCGGAGTTCGAATAGTTGAGTGCTTGATTTCCGAGTTCAACGATGCGAGCATAATACCTGCATTCATATAAGCGCCAGTATAATTTGAGACGGGCAAAAAGCTAAAATATTCTTTCATTTTCGCGTGATACCTAGTGACTACTCTGGAAGTTCGAATAACTGCGCGCTTGGTGTCCACTTTGAAAAGTGTTGATTCATGAAACATTTTCATGCAATTGTCTACGAACATTTAAAAAATACGCGATTTATCCAACGATTTTGTAAAAATAAAACAAATTACGCCTTTTTCACTTCGATGTTGCGGAAAAAACGCGATTTTTATAGTCGTTCAGTAAAATCTTACGTGATTACGCAATTATCCATGTGCGCACATTGCGTTAATTTCACTGAATTTGAGCGTGATTGCAGTTATTTTCACCGAAAGTAAACGCGCTTACAGTATTCTTCATTAATACAAATGTACTCAGAACTCCTTTATTTAAGGCTGTTAGTATTGATCAACACCGATGTCCGGCGTGCGAAACCACGTACAATCATTGAAAAGTTTCATAGTTGCCGCTTTTATTTTATTTTCTCGATGATAAACGAGTCAAATTTATAAATTGACATTTAGACGGGATATTCTCCACACAGAGAAGGAAAACATCGGGGCACTTGTTCCGAACTTAAGTTGACTAGCTTATCAAATCAACAGTGAAGTACGTACGACAAGATTCTGCAGCGTCGCACACGGAGATCCGTGCTTTCGCACTTGGGCATCGATACGTAAATAGAGAGAGGAAAGTAGAATTTTCTGTAGTTTTTTATTTTTTTATAATATTAAATGACAATGGTTCATACAGAGTATACCGGTGCAAAAACCCTTGAGATCATGCGAGTCACGAAACGCAGACGGCGCACGGTGGATCGAGTCAATAGGAGAGGTCGGACATAATTTGGAAACTTTAAACGCTTATAACACCGTTTATACAAAACTTTGAGATTCCAAAAGTGGTTCCACTGGTTTTTTCGTATAATTTTCTTTCAGAGGCATCCCTTAAAATTTAAAATGTGACGAAATAAACATTTAAATTTGCAGTTTCAGTCAGAAACCTTAAGTCCGACCTCTCTAATTGACTCGATCCACTGTGCGGCGTGAGTTTGAACGAGCTCGCTACACTGTAAGGCCGACAAGACACGCATGTTAGCGCCTGCAAGACTGCATAGATACTTCACACATTGCGCATAACAGTGCGTCAAAAAATACGCTGTTTTTCCACCGGTTACGCAATGATTTGTTGGGCCGTCATTGAATGAGCTCGCTACACGGTAAGGGCGACAAGACACGCATGTTAGCGCCTGCAAGACTGCATAGATACTTAACACATTGCGCATAACAGTGCGTCAAAAAATACGCTGTTTCCCCACCGGTTACGCAATGATTTGTTGGGCCGTTATTGAATGAGCTCGCTACACGGTAAGGCCGACAAGACACGCATGTTAGCGCCTGCAAGACTGCGGAGATACTTCACACATTGCGCATAACAGTACGTCAAAAATACGCTGTTTTTCCACCGGTTACGCAATGATTTGTTGGGCCGTTATTGAATGAGCTCGCTACACGGTAAGGCCGACAAGACACGCATGTTAGCGCCTGCAAGACTGCGTAGATACTTCACACATTGTGCATAACAGTGCGTCAAAAAATACGCTGTGTTTCCACCGGTTACGCAATGATTTGTTGGGCCGTCATTGAATGAGCTCGCTACACGGTAAGGGCGACAAGACACGCATGTCAGCGCCTGCAAGACTGCATAGATACTTCACACATTTCGCATAACAGTACGTCAAAAAATACGCTGTTTTTCTCACCGGTTACGCAATGATTTGTTGGGCCGTTATTGAATGAGCTCGCTACACGGTAGGGGCGACAAGACACGCATGTTAGCGCCTGCAAGACTGCATAGATACTTCACACATTTCGCATAACAGTACGTCAAAAAATACGCTGTTTTCCCACCGGTTACGCAATGATCTGTTGGGCCGTTATCGGCAAAATCGATCGGAATCGCGACCTATCGCGATCATCACTATTATTTTGCAGGGCGACAAGTTTCCTTGGATGTCGAAATTCCCCGAATTTTCAGGTATTATAATCTTCAAAATATCCGACTTATCAGTGTTTACTTGGCATGATTTCTGATAAAAATTCTGAGCGCAACGTATATTGAAATTGAAAAAATGCAATGGTATGGCTAAAACATCTCCGCAGCAAAATCCCGAACTTTTCCCAACTTCTCAGGGATGGGCAAAATTCTTTTCAGGATGCTTCACTGAGCAAATTGCATTAGTATATTTAAAAGGGAAAATGCATGCTGTTACATTTTTAGGGCTGCTACCTACCACTGGCGGACACGAAAGAAAAAGAGTATTGATGATGTTCAAAGCCAACCCTCATTAGAACTTATCCACTGGCTATCTATTTACCAAAAAAGCAAAACAATTCCCCTCATGGATACATGAGAAACCAATGTCTCGAGGGCAAATCACAGTGGACCAAACCTGATGAAGTAAAATTCCATGGAACAGGAATGAAAATTTGAGTGGAGTTGACAGAGATATTATGGATTTTGACAGATGTTTAGCCATTGAAATAAGCTTAGCTAACTTTTTGGCAGGGTGCAGAAAGTGTGGAAAAGCCCCAAAAATGTAGAAGGAGGGAACATTTTGAGGGGCCAACAGTCTACAGTCAAAGGAAAACAGATGAAAGACGTAATATTTTTCTAGATTGGTGGGATATTTGGTGGAAAACTGATGAGAAAAATGTAGAAAGCCGGCTGGCAGGCCCGTGAAAATGTGAAAACTTGGAAAGATTCTGCACCCCTGCTTTTTAGTTAGAGCCTGAATAAAACAAGATTTACAAGCTTCTTGGAGGACCAACAGTCCATACTACGAGGTTCTGACTGAAACTTTGAGTGAAAACTACAGAGAAAAAATTTCACAAGTTTGCCGTTAACATACACTCACAAAGACACTTCTTGAGTTTGGTCCATAGTGCTAAAACCTCTAGTCAGTGCATACCTCCTAAGGTTCTTCCATGCTATCACCGGAGAGAGATCAAACACGTCAATTGAACAAAGCATTAGGATGCTGGAATGAATCAGGCAATGGAGTACATTCCAATTTCTAAGAAATTTGACTGACTATAAAAACAGTTATTTGGTTGCTTGACTTACTTTATTGACTACTTGTTCAGCTTCATTTTCAAAGGATCAATAATTTTACTAAAAAACAGACCAATCATGACTTCACTTGCAACATGTTCAACCTCTCTGTGTGTATTAGCAAAGGCAGATCTTAGGATTTAAAAATTCTGAAGTACTCACCGATAAGGGGTTAAGGCAGCTCTGATTTGTGATGAGGTGGAGTCATTTCTGAAAAAAATAGAACACATAAGAAGCGGATTATTTACAATCTTTAAAAACGTAAAATTTTATTTTAAAAAGGGTAAACTGAATGACGGAAAACTCTCTAAGAGGGACAAATCTAATTTTCAATGATGATTTGGTAATTTAAAACATTATTACAGGATATCATGGGTTATCAAAAACAGTCTAGAAGAACACACCTACACTGCCGTGCTAAGGAAGAACGCCGTATGAACCGTCAGACGTTGCCACATTTCCTTTAATAAAACCTTAATTTAATGGGAAAATTGTGAATCTTTTTCTTCAATTTTTTAAGACAGTTTTGTTCGCAATGGACCACTAGACAAGGTACGAATGTAAGCACTCTGATACATGTTTGTTAACCAGAATTTCATGTAGAACACGATTCTTGCATCAAAAATTACTGAAATCAACTCCTAATACTAAGATTTTATTGTTTTAATTTTACATTGGTTACAGGAACTTTGAATTGCCCGGTCACGAGAAACTCAATACTCCTTGTGAGTCAAATCGTGCTTTACAACGGTTTCGGCAGGCTTCTAGTCGAGCACTGTTCCTTTCCCAACCTTTACCGTTCTAAGTGTAAACAACTTGCTATGGCTGAGCCAAGGCACAATAGCAAGCATTCTGATACATGTATCTTAACCATAATTCCGTGTAGAACATGCTTTGCAAAAATACTTAAAATAACTCCTAACCAAGATTTTTAATGTTTCTTGATGCGGGAATTCAAATCCACTGCTCATGAAAACGCAATGGTCTACATGAGTCAAATTGCACACTAAACGTAACCGTAGCAGTCTCTGCAATAAAAAAATCAGAGACAAGAGACCCTCCCTTTTGCCATGTTAAGGAAAAACGCCGTATGAACATTCGAGAGTTGCCAGATTTCCTTCGATAAAATGATTATTATTGAGGAAATTTACAAATATTTTTCCTTGAGAGGCACTTTAGTTGAAAGTGCGAGCAAAATTATCCGAAAAATTGGATGAAAAATATTCATGAGTTTTGCAGGAAATTTGGCAATGCATGAAGATGAAAGCTATTACCTTTGGGACTCCAGTATTCAACTGTTGACCTACCAACTGGGTTTTGATGGTTAACAACGAGTTGGGAGTTTTGTTTTGCAAACAAACTGAAGTTTGGACTTGTTTGGTTCATGACGTCGACCGAAGCTCATTATCCACCTGGTAGGTAGGTCAACAGCTGGAAAGAGAGTGATGACTACTACTCCCTAATAGATGTCCATAAGTGTTAAATTGCTAAAAGTGTAAGTTTCCACCTGTCGCCAAAAAGCCAATGGATGGTCTCTTGTCTCTGACGAAAATATGGTGACCTCAATCTTGACGCTTCCGCTCAGCTGTAGGAAATTGTTTACACTTGGGACATTAAAGGGTGGGAGAGGAACAATGCTCAATTGAGAAGTCTGTCAAAGCCGTTGTGAGGCGCAATTTGACTTGCATAGAGTATTGCATTTCTTATGATAACGCAATTCGAATTTCCGAAAGCCAATGTAAAATAGATACGTTGATATCTTCGATAGGAATTAATTCCATTAATTTTTGATGCAAGGATTGGGTTTTACGTGAAATTTTGGTCAACAAACAAGCACCAGAATACTTAAGTTCGTACCTCGTCCAGCGGTCAATTGTTTCTTTCCCTCTGATTGCACAAGGCTATACGATTGTTTCACTCATGTTGTGTCATAAACACAATACAAAATGTGTAATTCTCTTTCCTTGCACATGGTTTTATTATGATTGTGTCAGCACTTCAGCAGCACAATTAACTCAATCGTCAACCACATAAAACAGACAAGAATCATTTTTTGTGCCCTTCAGTTATGATGTTTCTTGTGCAAGCTTTATGTCTCCAAAAGACAAATTATGAGGCTTCTGCCTTTTGATCTAACCCTGCGACACCTTAATCATCTCTTAAGAGGGTCAGCTTCTAACTCTTGCTGGTTGGTAAAATTGGTATCTCAATTTTCTTAGGGGCCGATGGTCCCCATGTGTACTTTGTCATGATAGCATTTCTGGCTAATGAGACAAGACCTTACATTGGTCAACTAATTACTTAAAAATTCAGCTTGAAACCAGTGCACATCTAATCAAAATGAATACCCACTGGACTAAACAATCAAGGAGAAATGTTGAGAGCACTTCAAAGCAATGAGCAATGACTACTTAAGGTGATGGGGCGCATAGCAATTTGTAAGTTCGCAATTACGATTCTCGTTTGCGGTGTCTGGAAATCTCTGCATCTATGTTAGGTATTTCTTTGAAGGAGAACAAATTGACATCATTCCTTGAAGTGTATGTAGAATTTTCTTCGCACAGAGAAGAAAAATCACAGCAGTTTGAAAGAATTGCCCGTGAATAGTTTTCAGTTTAAAAAATAAAGTATGACAGGAAGTCTGCAACATCGCAAACTGAGTTATGTGATTGCCAACTTACACCGTCAAATTGTCAGGTTGTGGTGCACAACTTTGATCAAGGGTTTGATACAGAATTCAATCAGCTCTTGACTTGTCGAATGCTGTAAATGCGTCTCTCTGCTAATCATATCATCGTTGATGATCGCAATGATCACGAGCCTGTTAATTACCGATTTTTGAAAATATATGGTAGAGAATGGGAGAGGAAACCTAACCTCAAAGTTACATTCGCAGAAGAGTGAGATTCAAGATAAAGAACGCTTACAGTGTATGGTTGGTGGAAGTCACTTCAACTATCACAGGATTTGACATAAAACACTCGGAATCTTAAAATTCACATGGCATAACTCATGATGCTCAAGACGAAAGATGGGCGAGGTTGCGTAGCGGTGTGTGAGGGCAGCTGATAACGCGAGGAACACAAACCCCAAGTAATAACAGATCACTAATTGTTAGTTGGTGATAAACCGTGACCGAAGAACACAAATGCGACTTTAGGGGATGAATTCTTGAGGATAATTCACACAGAAGGCATAATCAACAGTGGGCAGTAAGTGCATGAAAATTGCGTACAGCGGTTCAAGTCAAACAAATGAAATGAGTAAATGACGCGTTTGCACTTGCAATTTGCAATGCAAGTTGCATCTTGCATCACAGACACTAGCGCCGCCCTCGTTGGATTAATAGCTATTGGCCAATCGTAGCTTTAGGCGGCAAATGTTACGTTTTTCAAATGAACGGACCTGTTTGCAGGTCTTCCCCTCCCACCTGAGTGGTGAGAGATTCCAGTGGGCGAGTGATTTTTGACGGCAGCTATGATTCCTAGCTAATTTATGCTTCACGCAGATTATGATCGGATGCGTCTCAACCGTTAATTTCGTAAATGCGACATGCGCATCATAAAATATTTGAACGTTTAAGAGATAATGAAAAAAATGGCATGCGATGCAATTCATAGAAAATAATCCCTGGTGTCAATAAAAACACTAAGATAAAGAGGCACTTGAAAGGCATGGACCGAAAAAGAATTGGAAAATTTTGGTATGAGAATGGGCATTTGACGGACAAAGTAATTATGTTCTTTTTTATTCCACCACTTTTAACAAAATTATCTTATTCCTTTTACCAAAATTGGACACATTTGTATCAAAAGTAACTACATTTACTGTAACATGAGCCCTGTCAAGCATGCATTCTTGTGAGTCTCAGACCTCATGTCGGAATGGTTCCTTTTAATATGAAGACGTCCAATGAAAAGTTCTTTTCGACCCTAAAAATGTAGTCAATGTACCTAACCCAGGTCGATTTTTCTCAATTTTGGACTGGGAAAAAAAATTCGATATTTTAGTCGCATCCTACGTAGTTAAAGGCGTAGAATCGATTGCGTACGGTCTCGACGCGTGGCGAGGCTCCCTGAGCCGAGAAACCGTCGAAAACGAGTGTTTTTGTAAAAGTGTTTTTTTGCTGATTGTGCGGTCCAGCGGACACTCGAGGAGACTTTCCGACCCAAGAATCGGACTCAGCAGGTCATTTTCAAGCGGACTAGCTTGGTTTCGACTTGATCGGAGAGCTTTCGATTTTAGGCCTCATTACTCCTTGAAGGAGTTACCTACATGTATGTCTGTTATGTACATAGAATAAAAAGTAATTATTTAAACAAAGTGTTTTGTAAGAAGTGTAGAATAAAATTGTTATGTACATATGTATGTAGACTAAAATTTATTGTGTGATAGTGTATCATAGCCCCATGGCTCCATACGCAGAATAAAATATTATTTATTCATTTATGTATACCTTTCTCGTTAAGGGGCAATGACTTTCTGATCCATAATTTTAAATAATGTTTATCGGTCCGCATGTCGTTGCAGGTATGAACACTTTCGATAGAATTGAGTTACTTAGAAAAATGAGTTCAGCAGAAAGGAACCAAGCCAGTACTGCAGTCAGCTATTGCCGAATTTAATTTGGCGATTTAATTATTTTACAAGAAAACTTGAGTGCGATTTTTCTGGACATTTCTTAAAAATCTTTAACTTCTAAATACTCATTTTCTTTAACTTTTCTTCACATTATTCCCCCAAAAATGTTAACGATCGCATTTAGATATTGTAATTCAATGATAATAATAAGAAAAAAGGGATATTTTGGGAAAATATTTTTTTTTCTATCATTTTAATGCTAAATTTGGAAAACATGGATAGGTAAGTAAACGAGGTGGAGTTGGTGGAGTCACTAGAGAATTTTTCGCGAACTTTAGCATTAAAAATATCTAATTAGAGTGATTCGTCGTCGCTTTTCCGCGTGGCCGAACTAACATGCCATATTCCACATTGAAGTAAAAAAATGTTGGCAGATTTTGATTTCGTAGCCCATAAAAGGACGATAACCTATACGCACGAGTCGAGTCTTCTTCTTCAACCAAAAAAGGTCAAATTTCGGAGAAATTAAAACAGAATTTGCCCACAGAAAAGACATTGCGTCTAATGAACAGATCGATTGCTGTGTCAAATGCAAGTTGTTTTCGTGAAACAAAATCCTGCCTTTATTTCTACAAAATTTGCGATTTTTTCGTTGAGATTTAACCTTCAGAGTCAAGCGCATAGGCTCGGGCTATCGTCATTTTCCGACCACTGGATCAAAATCTGAGAAGAGTCTTTACTTATTCCATGCGATATACTTCACGCTACGCCGCCGGTTCGACCATTTACCTTGGGGTTTATCTATTTCAAAAATTTATTGACATCTTTGGTTGTAATTCATCACAATCGACTGATTGTTTGCCCTGACAATATTTTTCTCCCAAATATTCTTAACATTCAAAGAGTAAGTATTTCAGGTAAAAAAAATAATTTGAAGAAAAATTGCATATGTATGCTCTTACGCTACAAAAATGCAAACAAAGTGGAAATATTAAAAATACTTTAATAACATTTATTCAATCTGGATTCATGCATAATTTTGATGGAGATCCAAATCCATTTTTTTTTTACTTGTAAAGAGGTCTTACTTTCAAACACACGTGAAATTAAATAACAAGATGAAAGGAGGGTAGACAAGTAGATTTTTTAAATTGTTATACATAAATATCTTGGCAGTTTTTTTAAAGACCAAGTCTGGGAGGTTACAGGTGTTTCCCTTTTTTCTCATTTTATATAGGAATATTTTTTTTTACTTAAGAACTTCATCACTGAAGAGCTAGATAAGGCAACAAAAAATTGTTTATTTGGTCCATTTGTAGATTTTCAAGAGAAACTTCAGGAGAACATGTATCCTCATCGCTAGTCTAATAAGATGCTTTCATGCGACGATAAATTAAATGGAGGGGGGTTCAGGAAGAAAGTAAAATGGATTTTTTTTTTCAGTGACAAAAATCATGTAACAGATGCCCAACACTCTGTAATGAATTTCGGCGAATCTAGGGATAAGAGAGTTGAGTTTCATGTAAAGATAAATGGATGGATTTACCTGGAATCAGCCTGACTTCATTTCACGATTCTGATGTTTTTTTAAGTCACATTTTTGAACAGAGAACTTAACTACTTAAGTAACTCCTTTAAACTTACTGTGAGTCTACTCTCGATTATGAGGAATACGTATCCCCTTAAAAATTTCAAGGTTCACGGTTACTTCGATTTCTTTTTAAAAACTAAAAAATCATAAATATGTATAAAGAATCAGGTTCTTCCCTGATCCTGAAAAACCTGATTCTTCGACGTTAACGTCTGATGAAGTGAGACTGATTTGGTTAAATATGGCCAAATATAATTCTATTACCTTGACAAAAAGCTACTTCTAACGGCAAATGCTCTTTCTTCGATCAAAACTTCTTTAAATCTATAACAATTTCTCAAAATTTAAATCTTCTTTCCAAACTAATTATTATAGGGAACATTAAATTATTTAGAGGGCTTTGAGCACTTTCAAAAATCAATTTCAATTTTATCACATTAATGCTCTCTAGAAGATTTCAGCATACGTATCAGATATGACGTATCGTTATTGAATATTTTAAGGCGTTTGTTCGTGCTCTCAACACATTACTGAGCCTAGATACTTTCAAGGGAAGGCGTTGAGAAGAAAATTTGCACTTTTATCTGAACGACCAAAAGAGACATACGTTGACATGAAAGTATAATTAACATATTGCTTTGCTTGTTTTAGGATGGAGGTAACATCGAAATTGTATTTTAATGTAACATGCCTTTTGACGGATTTTTTGTTACCTTGACCACAGGAATAACGAATCCTCTTTCTTCCGCCTCAGAGAATGATCGGTCATTAGACTTCTCGTCTTCTTTTCTATTTCTTCTTCATACTTAATTAAGGATAGGATGCTCTGAGCCTCACACACTCACTACCCCCCATCCACCACTAGGTAAGCCCATAGACGCACCTAGAGAAACCGTTAGAAGGTGGCCTGAACTCAACTTTGGCTGGAGAGGTCGAAGTCTCTTCAGTAAAAAGGGCGGGGGGAGTACCTATTAGCTGTTAGGAGGTCGGAGTTTCCACGGAAATTTTGACCTCCCTTGAATGCAAAATTAATCTGGCCCACGTACGCTTAAGGTTTACTCCACATTCTTAAAGCACACAAATAACTATTTCCTTTTTCCCACAATAAAGCTGGGTTTTGTGTGGATTCTTCTGCTGAATTCTATCCCAAGAAGGATTTTTCAACCGGAAAATCGGGATAGGTATATTCCAATTTTGTCGGTGATAAAATCGCTGGGATCATCAACATCGGAGCAATTATCCTCGATCTAATCGGGATAAAATCACGATTTCATTGCCCAGCAATTTATCGCGATATTTTCGAAATAAAACTCGCGATAAATGGCGATTTAATCTCGATTTTAGCGAAGAAAATTGATCGCGATTTTATCGAACCACGAATTGCGATGTGTAGCGATTTAATCGCCATAAATCGCAATTTCTTATTCGATAGTATCTCGCCATATTGCCACCGATATAATCGCGATAACCAACCAATCAAATCGCTATTTATCGCGATCACTGCTACTTGGGATGGTGCAGATTTTCTATGTAGGGCTAGATGATACAGCCCACCTTAGCTCCTTAAGATCTACGACAATGCCTTTAGCTCACTAGACGAATTGCATTGGAAGACTGAAAGTATCATACAGGCCTGACCACCGTCTATAGGCTCAGGTTGAAATATTGGTTTGAATGCAAGCTGTATGTCCGTCGCTGGAAGCGGTGATCCAGTTGCGCCATCCACCGAACTCGGTGATTTCCACCGCCGCTTGCAGATTCGGCACATCACTCACTAATCCAATCACAACGCGGCCGTCCTCTAAAATTATAGGGCCGACACCAACAACCTCCATTACAAACTCGCCAAAGCGACCCAACGGAACATCCCATAACTCCACGGTAGCCGCCCCTCCGCGTTCATCACGCAGAAGACGGGACCTCTTCGCCGACCCGTCGGACAACGCGAACAAGCGGTAACCAGTGGCGGTTCGCGTCTCCTCCACGAATACCGCCCTGCGCTCCGTGAGGAGGTGGTTAAGCGGCATACCGCTGAGATGCTCGCCAACTACCGCCAGGCGCACGTGATCTGTCGACGGCGGTAGAGCGGTGGGTGGTGCGGGCAGCGGTAAGTTCGTGGCGCCGAGGGGTAGCGCCAGCGCCCTCTGCCACCGGACACCCAGCTCAGCTAGAGCTCGGTCATGCCAAGCCGGGGCGATGAGCGTGATCCCCGCGGGCAGACCGTCTGGACGGAACGGCCCTGGTACCGCCAGCGCGGCCAAATCCGCCAGGTTGACGAAGTTGGTGTACGTGCCCAACTGGGAGTTGTAGAGAACCGGTTCCCGCCGTACGCTCGCGATCGTGTGGATGGTCGGCGCTGTGGGCACCACCAAGGCGTCCACCTGCGCCAAGGTCTCTTGGATCTTGCGCGCTAGTTCCGCGCGACGGTACTCCGCCTCGTACGCGTCCACCGCGGTGTACTTGGCGCCGGAACTGACGATGCCGTGGACCACCGAGTCCATCGCGTCGGGACGCCGCAGCATATCCCCGACGGCAACGGTGCGCTCAGCCACCCACGGACCCCCGTACAGCTCTTCCGCTAGCCGCTGGAACGGAGCGAAGTCGATAGGTATCATGTTCGCGCCCGACTCTCGTAGGCGTGACACCGCTGAGTCCCACGCCGCTTCCGCATGGGCGTCGCCGAAGAAGTTCATCGCCGCGCGGAGTGGGACGGCGAGGTCCGGACCGGCTTTGAAAGCGGCCGGAGCGGTGCGCGGGTGAAATCGCGAATAGGCATCTCGGGAATCGTAACCGGCGGCTAGACTGGCGACGAGGAAAGCGTCCTCGACCGTGAGTGCGAAGACGGAAACGGTGTCGTTGAGGCGGCAAGCGGGGACCACGCCGGCGGCGGAGAGCCAGCCCTTGGTGGGTTTCAGGCCAACGACGTTGTTGAAAGCGGCGGGGACGCGGCCCGAGCCGGCGGTGTCCGTGCCGAGCGCGAAGGCGACGAGGCCGCGCGCGACGACCGACGCGGAGCCGGAACTGGAGCCGCCGCTGATGTAAGCCGGGTCGAAGGTGTTGCGCACGGCGCCGAAAGGGGAGCGCACGCCGACGAGGCCCGTCGCGTACTGGTCCAGATTCGTCTTCCCGACGACGACGGCCCCGGCGGCCTTGAGACGCGCCACGACGAAGGCGTCGGTAGCGGGGGTGTAGGTGAGGGCCGGGCAGGCGGCCGTCGTGGGCCAGCCGGCGACGTCGATGTTGTCTTTGACGGCGAACGGGACGCCGAAGAGAGGCAGGGATGTCGGGTCCCGAAGGTAAGTCGCCAGGAGAGGCTCGATCTGAGCTCGCAGGTCGGAGACCGTGGCCCGGTGCAGCCAGGCGTTGTCCTGCGGGTCGATGGCCGTCAGGTGGGTCTGCAAGAGGCGCGCGGCTTGCTCGGGATCCTCCTCGTAGCGCCGACGCCAGTCACCGAGTGTGAAACCGAAGGTGGACGCCATGGTGAAGCGATCGAGTTCAAGGGTGAGATGCTAACTACCGTTCCGCGGACACGTAAAATGCATCTGTAAAGAGAAAACGAGTGCATCAGTAAAGTACTGAATATTTTGAAGGAAAGGGCTGCAATTTTTGGCGTCAAATGTTTCAGGGGTTTCGTTCAATGGGAGGTATTGTGGTTTTAATCATGAGTGCAGTGAGAGGAAGACCCGTGAAGTGCGATTTTCGCGATTTTTAATCCTTGTATAAAAGTTAGGTTTCAGGATTGTAAAAATGGACGTATTTCTGCTAAACGGGACTATGCGACAATTTCAGTTCCTTTTGAAAACTTTATAATCCAGCGCATTTGTCAAACGGAGCTAAGCGTCAGGGAAGAGCATTGTGAGCATAAGACGGAACGACCCCCCCCCCTCCCCCTCTCAGTGTTCTCCCTTTTGGAAGTTAGATCCGATTAGCGTAAAAACGTCCAAATTTGTATTAGCTGAAGGGGAGTCAGGTAGCGTAATTGCTTAAAATTCTCATCTTTCGTTATGCTTTTGATTACAAAACCACAGATAATAGTTTCAAAATTACTGCGAATCGAGAAGTAAAAAACTACAAAATTCCATTAAAAATTGTATATTTCCCTCGAGCTTCACACTAATACACTTAAGGAATGAGAACTTTGCAGTTATTGCGCGGAGTTGATATCCGGTCTATTTGGAGAGAACGGAGGTGCAGGTTGGAGACTCATCAGGTAGCGTGAAGATCCTCCGGTCGCGCCTTCTGTGTGAGAGTGTTCAAGAGACGAATCACCCAGAGAATGCGGGGATATAGACTCTACTTGAGTGTTTCATAGCATACAAAGCGCAGCTCAGCGTGGTCGTGTCATCATCGCGGTGTGACGCGCCTTCAATTTCAGTTAGCGGCAATGTGGGCATCACCGGTGGTCGAATAATTATCTCACAGGCACCTTCCGTAGATAAAGTCAAACATAGATGTCTGCACGTAAACAAAGCCTATTTATCCAATTGCAACATTGCACATCTTCGGTCATGTTTCATTTTTCTTTAATTTGTTTTAATACACTTATCATGGAACAGTTTAAATTTCGACAAGGATTTCGTCAAAAGTTGGAAGCGACGAATTTTCCTCCTCCGCTGAAATGGAACTATTTCATGACAAGATCATTAAGCAACGCTGCAACTGCTTTTTGCACTTCAAGAGGTACCCCTCTAGAAGGAAGGTCAAGTTTTAGCGCAGAGCTTGCTGACCCTCCGCAGAGTCATTATGTCGACAGGCCTGAGATAAGAGATTAATTTTCCTTTCAGTTCTTCTGGTAATTCTCTAAAACATTCGGACAAGGAATCGAAGCTTCGGCACCCGACCTCCTGAAACCAGTTCTGATTTTTCCCTTTATCTAAACGGAATTTCAACATACTGCCGTAGAGGGGGAACCGGTCGATCCAATCGATAGTTTCGGCCATTGCGGCGACAAAGTCGTTTCTCATCAGACAAGCGACGTCATACACGTTGCTTGTTATGACGTCGTATACAAACTCTTCAGTGTCACAGAAGAGTTCGAAGAGGCATCTCACTTCCTCCTCACACGCGCTAATGAGTGCAGTAAGACTGGTAGCTGCATCGCGCGTTAGCCATGACGCGGTCATGTCGTCATCAACGAGGGCTTCAATGTCGTCATCATCGAGCCACCATGATTCGACGTCATCGAATGAAAAATTAGGCTCCGGGTAGAGGCAGAAGAGCTTCACTGCATGGCACGCGAATATCCGACGAAGGTGGACGAAGTCAGCGTGGACTTGGCCGCATTGAGAAAAGTGCATACCGTGATTCCGCCAATCCCTTCGGATGCGTTTTCGGAGGCCCGAACCGACATCCCAAGAGAAGTTCGGGCCACTGAAGCAATTCTCGAGGAGGCACGAGAACACAGCCGGTAGAGAGTCTTTCCCCCCAATCAACGCTAAGTCTGGGATGCGCTCCGTGTCCAAACGGCACCCATACTTGACGAAGAGCTTCACGATGTCTAGTTTCATTTCAGGCGTCCCGAACTGGCATTCGTGATGCGCGATGACGGAAATGAGGGGCGTGTAGAAGTCCGCGTTGTCGCCCTCCTGCAGCGCGTTGACGTCGGCGCCGTTCTCCAGGAGGATCTCAGCCACGTCGAGATGTCGGACGAGATGGAGAGGGGTTTCTCCCCTAAACTTTCGGGCGTTGACATCGGCGCCCTTTTCGACGAGGAGCCCGACTGACGCGGCGCAGCCACGCAAGACAGCGTAATGCAGAGCGGTGAAGCCCCTCTCCGAGGGGAATAAACTAAATTCAGACGCGTCTCGACAGTTGGCGTCGGCCCCGTGTTCCAACAACGATTTGACGAGGGCTACCGGGCCCGTCTCGGCGGCCAAGAGCAGCAGATCCCCATACCCGAGGCGACCGAACACGCACTTGATATCATTCTTGCGATTCAGGATTGGTTCCAAGAGTTGCAAGTTGTCATCGTCGACAGCAAGGAGCATATTCTTACGATTTTCAGGGCACGCCGAAGCCACTGGGATACCTAAAAGTCGGCTAACGATGTCAACTCCTCCAGAGAGGTAAGCGGCGGCGATGTGAAGAGAGTCAGTGGCTACCGTTAGGAGGATTTCGACTACACGAAGCTTATCGACATGGGTTGTCAGAATTGATAAATTCTCTCGGTTCAGAAGTTGGACGTTTTTATCCCGAAACAGTTTCTTCATGCGAGGGTGGTCCTGCATGTATCCATCGGGTAGGAGGACATGGGCTGCGACCGCGGCACCGTGAGAAAGAGCTGGAAGGTTGGTAGACGGTGATATCGTGGCAGGAGTTGATGGTTGATCCGTAGAAGTGCTTGCTGCATGTTCATCTACGATAAAAATCAGCCCCTGTTGAAAACACATGGTGAATTTTGGATTGGATTGGCTGAAACATAAAAAGCACCAAATATTTTGTAACCTGAGTTCCGAGGATTTCAAGCGAGACTAGCTAATGGAAGGTACTTCATGAAAGGTACAGTAAATGACGTTTCTACATGGATATGAAGACATAATATGATGCCTGACTGATAAGTCTTGAAAGTGCGATCGAAGAGTATGAGCAAGAGTTGGAAGAGGATCTCCATTTCCAATACGACTAAACATGCAGTTTATGTCGGCCCTAGGATTGGTTCAAGAAGCCAAGGATTGGTAGCCACGACAGCCAAGATCATATTTCTGCGACTTTAGGTAGAAATTGGATCTAAGTATTTGTCAAAAAGCTTCGTTTGATAATTCTACTCATGCGGTGTAGTGAGACGCAGCAATGCGAAGAGATAAGCTTGTGTCACACTATCGAGATAATCCATCAAAATGTTAACGTCAAGTGATGTGATTGGTCCGAGTCATCAAATAAGCCAATCATAACACCTGACCTTGATATTTTGATGGCTAGCTTCGATAGTGTGACAAAAACCTCAAATTTTTTTCAAGCTGTTTTCTCAGCATTTTTTTTTTTTTTTTACTTTTTGAAAATTGGTGGGGGGAGGTTAGGCCAGCGTTACGTAATTCAAAAAGGGGGGTGTAGGGCTGCGTTACAAGGGGTAAGGGGGCGGTCAAAAAATCGGAAAAGTGCCTTACGTAATACTGGCACCAAAGGAAAATTTTCAAGAGATACCAAGAATAAATTAGATACTTCTTCTGGTGCACAAAGAAAAAAAATTAAATATTGTCATTACTTTGAAAGTTAGATCTCTCCCATGTAGACAGAGACTGTTAAAACAAGTATCCAGAAAAAAAAGAATGTTAAGTTCTAATGAATATACCCTTATTGAAAATTTCTTACCAACTCTCTTTGCACCTCCGAATGCAAAATTGAAGTTATGATGGCACATTTTGATATTTTATTTCATTTAATTGATCTCCCAATAAGCGTAATTTTCATGAAATCCTGGTAAAACACCACCGAAAAAAGGTAGGAGTTAAGTCCCAACTTGGACATTTCCAATAATTTTGATAGTATACCTTAATTAATGGTGGTAATATCCCCAAGAAATTAGGTAACCAGCCCAGATGTTGCGTGACTACCCCAACTTGAGTAGCGGTGCTACCAAAATTAATTGGAAACGACCATATCATCCAACGAATTTGGGCGGTGTCGTGGGATAACTCCTGAAACTTTTGTCTCCGTGACGAATAAAAGAAACTAAGAGAGCTGTCGAACTGGAAGAGCAATGGTGCAAATACGTGAAAAGGAAAATGACCTTTATTATTGAAGAAAACAATACTGCAGGGGTTATACATATGAGGTAATTAAGGTTTTGAATACACGTTAAAAATGACAAAATGAAAAAAAGAAAACAAAAGAATACAAAAAAACGCTAAAAAAGAATACATAAAAACGCTAAAAAAAGAATACAAAAAAACGCTAAAAAAAGAATACAATTGAACATTTAAAACATCAATGAAGTGTTAAGCCTCGAAAAATTGATACAAAAAAAGTTTATCGAATCGCAATTCATAGAAAAAGAGATTGGTTTATTAAAATCACGATTGAAATGCTGGCTTACACTGAGAATGTATCCTTCTCCCCCCCCCCCCTTTTTAGTAACGTATTACTGTAGAATTTTTAAATTAATAAATGAACATATATTGGAGGATTTCAATAAACATTAGAATTTCAAGAGGATCTAAACTTCCATGGAGATTGAGTAGGGAACATAACAAAACATATCAAAAGGATACATAGGAATAAAAGGTAATCGCGAGTAAAACACAAGGGAGTAGGAGTTGCTTCAATCACAATAATCGGCGATTTTTCAACGATGTGACAAAAAAACTTCATTCTCTGGTGAGTTTTTTGCGGTTGAGGGTTCGTTGGAAAATAGACTCTTTCCTCACGGCAAGACGAGTTATTTATTCAAGAGTCACTTGGAAGTCCTAGAACTCTCTTAATGTTGACAAGATCTATCATGCGTAGAAAGTCGAGTATATGCTCCTGCATTTCACTAGGCAACCGTTTAAAGCGGAGCGATAGGGAATCTAAAATTTTCCGGGCTTCTTCCTGAAACTGTTTTCGATGGCTGCCATTCTCCAGGTGATATCTGAAGATTCTACAATACAACGGAAATTGATTATTAAATTCATTCCACTCGAAGGAGTCGACCATGGAAGCAAAAACTTCGTTTCTGAGCAGGCGGGCGACTTCCAGTACGTTCTTCATCAGTAGGTCAAAAATTGACATAGTTGCACCAGGGAAAATGTGACTCTTCATGCGAGCCACTTCTTCATCACAAGCTAATCTTGTAAAATCTTGTACGCGTGGGAGTGTATTATCTACATACCTAATAGCCCACAATGACAAGGCGCGACCATCATCACTCGTGTACTTAGAACTCACAAATTCATTGAACTGGGGGTTCTGGAAAAGGGCTGCTATTTTAGACGCATACCTGCGCAAGTCTAAGAATGTGCGACTGTCAAGTCTGATATTTTCCTCGTCCTCGGCGCACGAATATAATTTCTTTAAACGATCAGGACCGATAAAACAGCTTTCAAGCATACATGAAAATAGCTCGCTGTTACAATACTTCAAACCAACAACCTCCAGGGTTCTATTTCCTGACTCACGGCAATCATCAAAATACCGTACTCCATACTTGGAGAATACTCGGAACAATTCCTCGGTAATGTATTGTGATCTGATTAGTTTTTCCTCCATCAACTGATTTTCGCCGCAAACCGCGCAAGGATTTGCGTGATTTTCCAAGAGTACATTAGCCACGTCAGGGTGCTTTGCAAAGAACAGCGGGGTAAAACCATCCCAATCATTTGCGTCTACGTCCGCACCCCTTTCGCAGAGAAGCTGTACTATCTCAGGGGACCCTCCCATCACAGCATAATGCAGAGGGGTCTCTCTGAGACTGGAGAGTTGTGTGACGTTCGCTCCGTGGTCCAGCAATGCTCTGACAAGCTCAAGGCAGCATCTCATGGCGGCCAGGTGCAACAAAGGCCTTCCATCAGTGTTAGAAATGTCGGGCTTGCGGCTTAGAAGACCCTCCAGCAAATGCAAGTTGCTGTCATCAACCGCACATTTGAACTGGTGCTCAAACTCACGAGTCCCAACGCGGTCAGAAATAAAATCGATAGGCGCAGAAATATACCGTTTAAAGAAGTGCATGTAGGACCAAGGTGTGATAAGAAACCTAGTTATCTTTTCTACAGGAGACGAGGATGAATCTTTTGTCTGCAAATTCACGAAAAATTCGTAGACTTTGATCTGATCTATTTCCGATAGATGCGATGCGTTCTTTTCATTGAGGATGACGACATTAGACTGTAGGAACGGCTTCAACCTCTCCGCATACGTTTGTACCAAGGATAGCTTTTTCCTTATCTCTTTTTCTTCCTTTGTTTCTCCGACGCTTGGCAAGAGAAGATAGGATGTAGGCACAACATCTGGAGGACAGGATACAAGGTTTGACGAGGTACTCGTGAACGGAGTGTCTGCAGTAAAGATAAGTCCTTGCAGGTACATGGTGCGATTGAAGGTATTTCTGGAACATAAGATTACCAATAGTTGTAGCGGTTCGCATCGTAAGAAAGGCTCCGGAGGAGGTGCTATAAAACGCACCGAGGAAAAAACAACTTATCGCTGATCCCTAACACTTTAGGTAAAATAGCGCTGACTACAGGCAATGGTGTTGAGACCTGAAGAGGGTCCAGCCTTACTGTCAGAGTTGGGAAAAATTATTCGAAAATTATTTTGTCAATCAGAAACGTCCCATCAATCGTCAATTGGACGAGTAATTTGAAGATTTATCTATCTTATCAGCGGGGCGATTATTGAAATGTGACTCTATGTCGCCGCTTAAAGTGCCGCTTTAACCTCTTGCTCTCAAATTCGACTTGGTTACTTTCTGTTAAACTAGGTCCAGATACTAGGTGCAGTGCATACCAACCTGCTGGCTGATCATCAATGGTAATGGCAAATCCTAGCTAAACGTAAATTTAAACGATCAAATAACGACTTTTAGTTTTTTCTTGTAGAAATGGATGGACCAATGATAGTTAACGTGGGAGTCCACACTTCTGAGTTTTTGATAATGGCTCCTAAGGATTCCTCCATGATTGCGGAGAGAGGAGAGTGATTTTTTCCGCGTAAACAGAACAACACGTGGACTGGATCGTTTGAAACGAGGGTCGGACGCGGGGAAGGCACCCGAAAAAAAGGAGCAAAACAGAGAAGAGATCAAAGCGGAAACTACTAAAAATGGGAGGATGCGAAAAAATTAGCGAAAAGCGAAAAAGGAGTGAAATAACTGTGGAACAGTCGAGAAGAGAGTGCGCCAAGCGTGAGTCAACGTGCTCCTTATAAAGGCGTCTGCTAATCGCGCGGGGGGCTGATAAGGAGGATGGAAAACCGGCTTAAGTGACTGATAAGTGATAACTCTTGAGGCCAAGAAATAAGTAGGGTGAGCGACGTATGTGCCAACTTTCATATTTAATTTGATTCTAATTGTCTCCTGACCCATCTAATAATGAATACCCAACATCCAGTACGTAAATTCGCGATGAGAATATTTCTTGCTGATACAGGACTGTAACGTTTTCTGCGATATTGCTGTGAATTCGGCTCTGTTTTTACTTGCGAGAGTTGTTCCTGTGGAATAATAAATTTAAAAAATAAAATAAATTAGTTAGTTTTAGGTCTCCACTCTCGTTTCGATCCTAATTGACTTTATTCATTGGGTTCTGATATTGCTCTTGTTGGTCTTGATCTGTCTTCTGTCTATTTGTTGTGGTTAGTTCATTAAAGCATATGGATTTTCCGTGCATTGTGTGCGCACATACTTAAATAAACCAATATTTTGGGATTGAAGTGAAAGATAAAGCTTGCTTCGAAACTGTCAGTTAGCGTCTCAAATCATTTAATTGCATTAAGATATCTTTTGGAACCCGTAAAAACCGTTCGAGGACGTCGCCGCGGACTGCGCGCCTTCAATTTCGGTGGTTATGCAGATAACCATCCCTCGAGTCGAAATAGTTGCATGCACGACAGCGTGACAAAAATGAAGGCGCAACTGATGAGGCGAAACTCGTGGACCACTTTGGCGTTAGCTATCTCACGCGTCGATAAAGATGCATACTCGAAAACAAGAAAAATGGTTGTGTTTCATTGAATTTAACTGGCATGTCGAACAAATCTGCTGTCGATCGTTATCATCAGAATGCGGGCCCTGATTGATTTATGACAGTGTTTTAAGTTCACTCAAACATTTTAAACGGGTTCACAGAAATTACGGACTAGAACTCCCCGACTTTTCCAGCTTCCTCCTGATCTACTTTAAGAGCATTACTTTAAGATTAGCTTAAAGAAATCTTTTTGAGATCTTTTTGAGATTCGTCGATCCGGTCGGGTGCCAGGGTGTCTACTAAAATAGGCTGGCCAAAAATTAGTACTTTTACAGTTCTTTTTCAGTACATTCTCGAAAATTCAGTACTTCCTTAACAGATAAATTAAGTACTTTTTCGGTATCTCCAATTGACGAGATTTCGAAAATTTTAAAAATTTGAATTTCCCGCTCAAATTGCGACAAAAAAATGAAAACAATTCCGGACCTTCTTGAGGAATTCCGCACTTTTTTCAGTACTTCCGGACCACCCTTAAAAAATCAGTACTAGTCCCGTACTTTCCGGAAATTCCGGAATCGTAGACACCCTAGGTGCACAATTTGAATTTAGCGTAAAAGTTGTGACGCAAAAAATGTAACTGTATTTGATTCGTTTTTTGATTGAAGAAAATGAAAAAACGAGAGTAACGCGTCGAAACTTTCCGTGATTTATATTTTTAAATAATTTCGGAAAATTTCCGAAAGGCTTCTAAATACCGCAGGAAACTTTGTAAAAAACATCGATTAAAAATAAAGCATTAGTAGATGAGAGCGACGTTACAGTCGGAAACAAATACGCTTTGATTCGCGTGCAGCCGTTGGTATTTCAATTCATTCACGGCAGGCGTAATGATACAACTATTTGACCACGGATGAAGGCATGTTGCAGCCAGCCGGATTGAAGGCGCGTCAAACTGCGAAGATCACGCAGCCGTGTTCCCTTCCCTCGTTGTCGCACTCGCAACGCTGAAATCGCCGAAAAGAGAATTTTGAGGACCGAGCGTCTAATCAGTGTTGCCGCACCAATTTCAGTACTTGCCGAGTTATTTGCGCCCAACTCTGCACTGCCTAAGGTTTGCGCTATTTTACCTAAAGTGTTACCTTGGGCTCAGTGCTAAGTTGCTTTCTCCTTGAGAGGTACCGTCATTTCTGCGGGCAAAAATGTCTTCAATATTGGATTTATTTAGACTGCATTTTGCGATTTGGAACTATAAATTCGGACTCATCCGTAAAAACACTTATGTTCATAGGGAAACTAATGGCACATACGTTGCATAGGGAAACTAATGGCACATACGTTGTTTTTAAACCGGGCTAGAATTTATAGTTCCAAATTGGAAAATGTAGTCAATTTTGATTTCCTCTCAAACGAAGCGAGCATAATACCTGCATTCATCATTCATGCGAAGGTTTTTTTTTAGAAACGGAGAAATTACGTACGTGATTTTTCATTTCAATATCGCGAGAAGCACGCACTTTCTATGACAGTATCGGAAAGAATACGCCATCTTCCAGCGATTATGTGAAAACAAGTGAGAAATTGTGCGATAATCACGTAAGTAAATATCGCGGCAATCACGCAATTTTTCGAGCGGTTCTGTAAAATCATGAGAAAATTAAGCGCTTTTTTCGCGTAAACCTCAAAATAGCGGAAAATACGCAATTTTGATAGCGATGCGAGCATTGTCAGTAGTTTGAGACAGGCGATAAGCTAAGATTCCCCTTCAGTTTCCCGTCATACTACATACTCACGCCGGAGTTCGAATAGTTGCCCGCTTGATATCCGCATTCAAACGATGCGATCAAAATACCTATACATTCAGTAACGCAGTAATTTTAAAGAGTCGAAAAATTAACCTTTTCCTCCATTTCACGTAATCCTACACTTACATACACACTCTGGAGTGAAAAATTCCCTCATTCTGGAAAAATGAGTTTATATAATGAGAACTGTGAGAGTCAAAAAACTTAAAAAAGCAATGCCTTTTACTGTTTTTTCTTATTCCTTACTTGTTGGGTACAACAAACCAAAAGACGTTCATACATCGACAAATTTCTGTGTGCAGTCACAGCTTCCCTCACACAGCTTGCAAATACCCGACGCTATCCCGAGATGCTTTTCTAAAGTTGGTGCAATGAAAGGTGTTAGGACCCTTGCTTGGTGAGGATTCAGTAAGGAAAATTAGCTCGCAATTGCTGCTGAGCAACTGCCCAATGACTGGAGGAGGAAAGGTTGGAACATTACCTAAACATTGAATTGATGCTGCACTTTAAATTGACAGCTTGCATAGGCAGCTATAATCGCTTCGATACGTTGACTTAAAACAACACCAATTTGTTTTTGTTTCTGAAGACCTGTCGATAAGCATAATTTAGGAGATTTATCACCTGCATGACATCACAAAAGGAAGGTCTTTACAGGGACTTCTATTAGAGTTTGCTCATTGTGTACTAAAGCATAGTTGAGGGGCTTGGAGGAAGACAAGGCACATAAGTGGAGTTCCTGCTGTTTCAAGAAATATGCATTTAGAGTTTAAAAATGACATAAAATCTCATGGCAGAAAGAAAATTTCAACTTACTTTTTGATGCTTGCAAATTGGTTTTTCACGGTGAATTTTCACGGCATATAAATTACGACTAGTTTAAGTTTAACTCATAAATAACTTATTTTTCCCAAAAAATTCACTCATCCAACGTGTCTTCCAAGCCCCTCAACTCTAATTCTGTCAACATCTTTCATTGTTTCGGCCAACAGAGTGTGTACATTAAATATTTGACTGGTACTTTGATTGGACTAATCAATGGTTGACACTTGTCTTCATCAACGATGAGCAAAACGATAAGCGAGCTCTGGTTGTGATAGTACAGTAAGAATTCTTCATTACTTACACTGAGCTTCATGCAAACAATAGCAATTACAAAACCTCTTTCAATGCGACCGATAAGTATAGGTAATGTGTAAGTTGGTAAATTGACAGCATAAGTCCGGAATCATATGTCTCATTTGAGGTGTCTGCAAATCTCCGCCAGTATGTTATTTTTTTAAAGGAGAACAAATTGATATCATTCCTTGAAGTTTTTGCAGAATTTTCTTTGAAAAATCATGGCAGCTTTAAAGAATTGCTGTTGAGTACCTAGTTTCCCGTTTAAAAAATGATGTATTACAGGAAGTCTGCGACATCGCAAACTGAGTTGTGATTGCCGACTTACACCGTCGAAATGTTGTTTCCCTGAGAAGTAACACTGATGCCGTTCTACTCTACTATATCCTCTATTTTCTCAGGGGCAAAGTTACGTGGTGAGTTTGATGTCAACAAGTCAATCGGATAAACTGAGAGATCAGAAAGATTTTGTCATTGTATTGTTACTTGCCAAATGAATTCAAATTTTACATTGATTATTTTAAATTACTACAATTACAATAAATTATACTTACAGAAGTATTCTTGAAATAAATGTGCTCAAGGTGGGGAGATCATCAAAATCCGCAAACGTGACTGAATTGAACCTGTTGCATCTGATGGGTAGGTAAATTGAGGTAAATAAAACATGTGCTAACCTGCAGTCTGATAAGACTTAACCTCAAAATATTTCTTTACACAATGTTTTAAAGAAAGACAGAACGAGTCACTCTAGTTGCTAAACGGCTTAAAAAATAAAGGCGTAATCGGGATAAGTAAAGAAATCAGGAAACTACTGAGTTACGAAATCCAAGAATGGAAACTATAGACGGGTGGATGAGAACATCAACACTTCACGCAGTTCTGCATTGGAATTGTGATACAGGGAAAGAATACGTATTCAAAGAATTGTATCAAATGTTACAACGGTACAGCGGAGAAAAGATGTTCATTTCAAGAGCTGAGCACTGAACTTTCCGGCGGAATTTTCGGCATCACCACTTCGGAAAAATGAAAAAAAATAATGTTATGAATATGAATCATTTCTGTTGATAATGATAAGGATAAACTGATAACGCTAGAAGCTGAGGCTGAGAGAGGGGCAAGGAGGGCGGGTCATGTGACTGTCGACGCGGGCACCCCTGGCGGTAAGTCACCCAAGCTCTCTTTACCGCCAAAAACGTCAAAAAGTGCATTAGCCAGTCACAACGTTTGGCGCGAATCTAGGGATTTGTTCGAATATGCGCAACTACCTTTGCTTGCCCGCTGCCGCTGGAGTACCTATCTAGACAGGGCGAGAATAGCCATATGTGTGTGCCAGTCTTTGTTTGGAATTTTGATTCACTTTTAAACGCGTCCTAGAATGTCTATCGAATTACCGTTAGGTGAGGATTAATATCATATCATAGGATGGCCGGACTGGAGAGGGGGTAAAAAGAACGCTGCATATGTAGAAACGCAGCTAATATACTAAGTTTCATGACTGAAGAATTTCTCGCGGAATAAAACGGCAGATCTAACAATATAAAATTTTAGTCTTGACTCATTTTAGTCTGGAAACATCCAGTCTTGAAAATTTTTGTGATTTTTCCTCTTCGTGCGGAGAAAATTCCGTGAAAATTTCAAAGAATGATATTGATTTGGTCTACTTCAAAAAAATAAAATGTGAGCGTAGATTTTTAAACACCGCAAACGAGATACGTGGTATGGTAGTTTCACCGTCGATATACATTATATTGAGTCTTCCAGGAGCCTCCTCTAAGAACCTCCAGTTTTTTAGACTGACTGTGAAGAGATACATAGTCGTTTCATACTTTCGCTACATTCTACATGGCATGATGTAGTATTGCTGAAATTAACCCCCNNNCCCATGAATGAATGAATGAATGAATGAATGAATGAATAACCTACAGCGGTTTTTGACCTCACAAACTGTTCGTGAAATACCGTATGCATCAGTGGCGTGGCGTGCTTTGCGATATATCGATTGATCTGCCATTTAAATCTATGAAAGAAGATCGCTAACCGGGGTGTTCGCTAATAATCGATTCTTTACCATAGCTTCAAATGGAAAAATATCGATAATCGATCATCTACGCTTCGCCACTAGTGTACTGGTATGCATGCTCGTTTCTTAAAGCTATTGAAGAGTTATCTCTAAAAATATCTTGCTAAAATATTAATCAATTTCCTTTCGGAACATTGGCGGACCAAGCGAATTGGCAACATTGTTTTTTCTCCATTTAAATCTATGGAAATGTATCGATTTTAGGAGGAGCCAGGTGTTCCCACAAGAATCAATTATTTAGCATAGGTTTAAATGGAGGGAATCCAATGTTGCCAAATTGCTGGATCCGCCTCTGTTTCGGGAAATACACAACGCAACTATCCCAAGTAGCAGTGATCGCGATAAGTTGCGATTTGATCGGAGAATGTATCGCGATTTTATAGACTACGTTTTATCGCAATACCTATGATCGACCTAAATTGTAATAAGTTGAGATACAATTTCGATTCTATCGAACGCGATTTTATAGACACAATTGCGACAAGATCGAGGATAATCGCTCAGATCTTGATGATCTTTGCGATTTTATCAACAAAAAATCGCAACTTAATTTCAGAATATCGTAATTTTTCCGCTGAAAAATGCTACTGGGGTATGCAGATTAGATGGATTCATTTATCCAACAAATATTTCCGCGGAAAAAGTGCACGTGATCAAATCATCCGAATGACCAAGCGTAATTTTTCTCAAAAATTTCTCTCTGTAGATTAAAGCGCTCGAAGCACCAACATGTAAAATTTCAAAATAACGGACACGAGCAACGTTCACAATTATTGAGATATGCCGTATGCGTACTCCTTGATCCCTTATCTCTGCAAGCCTGCCGTGATAGCGAAGAGAGCCGTAAGTGCAAAATTTTCGAAATCGAGTTTTCTTCAAAATTCGTCTAAACTCTTTTAGATGAAATCACTGAGACAGCTAAAACAGCAAAATTTATCCTAATTTAATGAAAACGAGACGTATGTAAAAGCCGTAAGTGTACAAAAAATGACACAGTTTTTTTTCAAGACAGCCGTAGATGCATGAGAGCCAATGAGAACAATGCTTTCCAGTAAAGTGCCGCCCTCCTCTGCCAATTTCTAACCTGAAAATGTGTTTGTTGTGCGTCCAAAACGCAACGACGAAAGCATGCAGAAGATAGCACTTACGGCTGTCTTCCCTAACAATAACCTAGCATGAGAATGAAAAATACCCTTTTTATGTAATGAAAATAAAATCAGTCGATTTTTAATCATCCATGCGATTTCTAGGAGTCTTCCGGACGATTAGTGGCAATTTGACAAAGAACGGAGGCTTCTTTCAATAAAATGTTCTTGTCAGAAGCTTCTGAGCCCGTTTTCTCAAAACTTCATTTTTGCACTTACGGCTCTCTTCGCTATCACGGCAGAAATGTGAACGCCGGAATACTTAATGGCGTTGTGATTTACGCACAGTTTCGCAACAATGTTGAGCTTTTTTATAGCAGTTTGCGGGTCCCTTCGACCCTCCGCACTTCGGCTCTCGTGGCGATCACGCCTTTCTACTTGCAGTTGCATCATGCATTTCGGTCTGTGACTTATCGATGCAGTCTGCGTATTTACCTTGTGCGTGTTGCAGTTCCTACAGTCTGTTCAAACGTGCAGTGCAATGTATAAAAAAAACCAATGATCCTACGGGACAATTGAAATTGCAGAGGTAAGTGTTAAAACTCCTTTAGTTGGATGGTGATTTCAATATTCTCACTTTCTCATTATAAAATAACTTGTATCCGTTTCACATTCCTCAAATCGAAATAGATGAAGGGAAAAGTGTGGCTACACAAAACATTTTCGCTCTTCAACGTTTCATGCATGGAGAACCGCAAACAGCACCGGTTGCGTTTGATTGTTATGAATACGTGGTAAAACTCATGAATCGAGGAGTTGTACATGTTGCGTATCTACGAATCGAAGGAGCCTCTCTTATTTCAATAATATATAATTTCAATAAAATCGAAATAGGGTGCAGATTTTCTTTGCACTGCAAATCGCCGATGTTTCATATGATCGTTTATGATCATTCATGAATCAAATGTTGTAAAAATACACCCAGCACTTTATTTGAAACATATTTCTACGTCGTTCACACATTTTAGTTGCAAATTCTCCCCAGAATTTTCTTGTTTTTACCTCATATTTGACCGTAACCTATGTCCTCAGTTAGTAATATTCACATTCCCCTTCTCAATCTTAGGATTATTTAGTATACTAATGGATTTAGGGTTTGCGTTTAAAAAACTTTGATTTGAGAAAGTGATTTAAAATTTTTTTTGGAGATTAAAATCATAGTTTAATCGAGCCAACTATTACATCATCCTTCAACTTCTCCGTAAAATCCCTCGATCGATCGATATACAGTGAGCGGCGGAACAAAGAACAAGGGGGGGGAGGCAGATGGACACGTCATCAAAGGGGTTCCAAGGGGTACTAAAAAATACCCCACCAATGTGAATCATTGGGACTCGCCGAACTCAAAAGGATGGTTCGGGAGATTTACATGTATTAAGCTTGAAGTGTCTCAGACTCTCAGAAGCGATTTTGAGATGCTCTTACCGAAAAATTGATCGAACTACGATTTCAAAGATAAAAGATATAAACCGCATTTACCTTTTCAACCCCCGTCACAT